CTATTCTATTCTATTCTATTCTATTCTATTCTATTCTATTCTATTCTGTATTTGTAGGCTAATATTACTCAAGGCTTTTTAGTGAAAATATACCGTGTGCTTCTAATAAAACCCTTAAAACCCTTTTAAGAAAAATATTTGAATACCATCTAATATTGTTTGAATGATAGGTAGGCATCATTTAACAACTGTCTAATTTAATAACCATTCCCAGTTACAAATTGATATCCAACATCCAATCCAGCTCCTAGGCCATTTACATTCCAACTGACTATTTTAATTATCAGGCCTCCTTGTACACAAAATATTTCTGAAGGTCAGTTTCCCAATTATAGAACCATTGTGTACTGTAATAATCTTATGGAAAATCAAATCCATAAAAAGACAATATTTAAATGGTAAATATGAATCTAATCGCCAGATTGCAAGAACACAAGCGAGTGGTCAGATGAGGAGACCCAAACTCATTGGTAGCCTCACATTGCAATGAACAAGGACATATTCAACTTTTAGCTACTAAAATTATTGGCCGAGCAGGTACAAAGATAGACAGGAAAATGATTGAAATCTGGAAAACGAACCCCTTGTCAGTCAACAGGAGAGTTGATTTTCCATCAGCTTATCAAGTACTTAGGAGCCAAAGACTTGGTAGCCCAGGAAACAACAGTCACTGATTTAATAGCTGGCCATCAACACCCCAATCAACCAATAAGCAGCCATACCCAATCAGGCTCCACATAAATACTGCACACAGAATAGCCCAAAGCACCCATTCTGCTAGGGAGAAGTTCCCTGAGGAAGGACTCCAGTACCAGTCTGAAAACTTGGGAGATTAAACCTGTAGTCCCAATGACTGGCCCAGATTCAATATTGCAATATTATCCTGGGACATGTATATTTGCCTTCATTTGTGAATTATAATAATATTTATTATACTTTACTAGAAGTGTATGATAGGCTTAACGTTAGTGACACCAAGATAATGCTCAGTTTAGAACATCAGAGAGACAATGTAATCTAAATGACAACTGTCTGGGTAAATAAAATAACTGATTTGCTCATCCTTTCATTTTCTAACCTTTGGTTTATGCGGGACTGAAAAGTATTGTTGGAAATACACATTGTGCACGAGGTTCGTGCTTTGCATTGTGACGTGTTGTCTTGCCATTCTTTCTCCTAATTAAAATAATCTTTAAAAAAATCAGAGAGGACAGGAAGACTGGTAGACCCCTAGTAAAGTATTACCAGAAGTATTACCACTTGAGGATTTACTCCCTAGGGTACGGCAAAAATACACAAAAAGCATGTGCTAACACGGATATTTTCTGATGCCAATAAAACATCAAAAATAAGTAACATGGGTAGAAAATCAGATTCACTAGCTGTGTTTGTCACTGACCACATTGTTTGTTTAATATTTTGCTTCTTTTTTATCCTGTTGGTATACATGGACCAAAGAAGGAGCCTCTTTTTTTCCTCTTAAGAAATACCATAGTGGATGTTAAACTTTGAAATTTTCACTAAATTTGGACAAGTGTTACTTGAAGAACTACTTTATGTAGGGCATCCTAAACAGACCATGAATCTATAAGTCTGGAAACTGTTTGGTTAGGTAACAAAAAGAAATAGATGTGGCAATTTTGTAGGAGGTGGATTATGATTTTGAAAAAGATAGAAAAAGTACCTAGTTTGGGCTGCTTGGATATGAGCCAGCTGTACGGTATTCCTAAATCTGTTCAGGGTCAAACAATCAGGGGGGTTTGGACAATACACTGTCTTTCTTGTAAAACTACAGCCTGAAGCAAGCATTTTACAAAAGGCCTGACACTTTCTAAAGGTTATAGAGAGTAAATAAACCATCAAATGACTCCTCTTTTATTGTTATGGTGGTGTTTTTGTAAAAAACACTTAAATCCTTGTAGTCCTAAGGCAGCTAATAAAACAGCAACACTTGTAAAGGTTTTATATTGCTTGTTATCTTCTTAAAATGATATACATTTTCTCCTAAACAGAAGAAAGTTTTCCTGTTAAAGAGCAACAGAACTGTTTGTTGCAAGGCAAAAGAAATTCAAAGTCTTGTATTTATAATAAAAACAAGAAAGCAGGCAAACAAATAAAACTGGTGATTTTAAAGAAGACTTTCACTTTTACTTCAAGATTAGTGTTTTTTTTATTTAACTTTTTGATATATCTTTTATGTAATTACTGAATTTCCTCCCTCAAATAAGACAATATTTACTTCCCTATTATTTGCTATTTTAAAGTTCCAAGTTTCCATTTTTTTTTACTGAAATAAGTTTAATTCAAATATATACATAATTGTAAAAAAATAGTGCTTGTCAATTTCTATTCAAATATCATTAACAGTTTAAGGATACACATTTAATTTACTGTACTGATTTATGGTTCTGTGGAAAAGATCAACTTGAAATAATTTATAGCTTCTAATGCCTTATGCATATTTAAATTCCAGAAAAAATCTTTACTTTAAGCTAGAGAGAAAGGTCGAAACACCTGCAGATAAGGCAACACTGCAAGAAATTTTGTGGAATTTCTGGAATTCTTAGGCCAGCTTGGAAGGAGCTTTGGACGTTTTGTATTTTTGTGAATTAACAGTGTTGGAGTTCTGGCTGAGATTAAACGATGTTTATTACTGGCTGAGATGCAATGTAATTGAAACCACTGCACCAGTTTTATTTGCTTAAACTGGAGCTTAAACTGAATATTTTTTCTCCTGGAATTTAAATATACATCAGGCATTAGAAGCTATACATTATTTCAAGTTGATCCTTGGCTACATTCCATCTCTCATCCAGGCTTGAGTTACAAGTCCTTTAAGTAAAATGTTGGTTTGATGATTCATCAGTTTCTCCAAAGAGATTGTGGGAGAAATTGACAAAGTTTTTCTGCCTTCCATCTTCTGTTCATGAGGAGACTACATACACCAAAAACCATTCCTGCAGTTCTTCAAATATTTAAAATGTCCCAAAGCATCTCTGTAACTGTAAGTTTCATGTGTGTATGCAGCATTTTAGATATTTGAGGGAAATACAGCAGGACATGTCACCTGTCAGACAGTACATGAATTATTAGACTAGTAGTCACAATGCAGATTCCTTCATTTTTGTTATAGCACATAAAACCTAGATCTGGGAAAGACTCTTATAATAGTTTCTGTTTTTTTTTAATCTTTCTTTGAACATTTCAAATAAGATATTAAAAAAGAAATACTTTTTTAAAGAGACAATGCCAGACCAGCTTCCTGGGTTCTTGGTGGGGGAATGCTTGTCAGCATTGGTGGGAATGCTTGTCAGCAGATAAAAAATGTGACCATTTCAGGATTCATGGGTAGATTTATCAGATCCATGAGAAGCAGCCTTGTTTAGGAGTTCATCTATGGGCAAAGCAAAGAGGCAGCCTGAAGAGGAATAGATATTGAAAACCCACAGACTTTTCTTTAAAAAGATCACTTATTTGTAATATTGAGGGTTAACTTTTGCAAGGATGTTATTTCAAATGAGCTTTAAAACGTTTTCAATCTACAATGAATTAAAAATAAAGCTGCCCTTCCACCACTGAAGATGTAACAGTAGCAAAACAAAACTTTCCTTTCAGACTATGAAAGAGGCTGAATATATAAATCTCACATGAACTATACCTTTTGTCTTGCTGTGGAAAGAGCTTGATGTATAAATTTCATATATATTATCCCTTTTGTCCTTCTAAGATTGTTCTGAATAAAGAAATACTGTGAAAATGCATGCAGGTTGTAAAAAGAACTTCATGGATTAGTAATCTCCCTCCATTCCATGTCCTAGAAAGATTAGGTGAACAAGTTTCCATAAGTTCATTTGCAGATGTTACGCTGGAGGGAAGCTGTTGATCCCAGCTAACATTTCAAAAAATTTCACTGTGGCCTGAAATGTATTTTCATTTGCATATATAACTTTAAAATTTTTTAGGATGATAGAATAAGAAAATGCATTGACATAAAGAAATAATTTTAGCATAAATTGCTAAATCAATTTCAGTCAGGTTATTTAATGTTTTGTAAATATTTTCATAATAAAGCTTATCAGGAATATATCACAACAATGATTTTGTTTTAATGTTGAAATTAGGATTCAGAAAATCTTTACGAGAAACAAATTAGCAGACATGTTGCTGAAAAACAGGACCTTGTATGGCAGAAGGTTGGTGACTTTGTCATAATTTTTGATATTATCACTGAAGTGATAAGGAAAAAAGTGATATCTGACTTTTTAATATACTTCCACTAAATACTTAGTGTTAGGGTTAAATTTAGTGGATATAATAATCAACTGAATCCTGAAGCTGTTATATGTGTTTAAAACTGTGCTTTTAGAATCTGGCAAAACTAAATCTGAAGAAACTATTCCAATGCCTTTTTTAAAACTTTCATCTAATCCAGAAAAATTCTGAATATAGTCCAACTCAAGATTGCAATTGCTTTGAATAATCTAATTATGTTGCGAAGCAAATCATATGTAGGAACTGAAAGAAAAAAATACAAAGTGTTTCATACTTATTTGAAGATTATCCTATTATATTGTTGCTTCTCTTTCATACTAATTTATAGAAAATATATACCTGTTTTGCCATACAAATAAACCTGTCACTTTGTATCTTGATTAGAAAGTAATCGTTATTTCTTTATTTTGTATAGCTTACTTAAGCCATTATTTATTGATTTTTTTGAATCATCATCAATTAAGATTAAATTGTATGAAAATTAAACATCAATGTATTAGTGATATAGTGATAATGATAGGGTAGGGGTTAATATTTTTATTCTTTTTTGTATTGGATTTTTTTATTTTTTGTAAGCTGCTTAGAATAACTGAAAATGAGTGGGCAGCCATATAAATTCTCTAAATAAATAAATATCATAAGTGATGAGACTAAAAAATTGTGCTTAAAGGTCAGCTTCATATATTAGATTTTAAATTATTGTCAACAAATAGGAAGCTGTTCAGCATGAGAAAGAAGCATTAAAGAAGCAGCATGCAGAAGCCATTACAACTTTAAAAAAACAAGTAAGATACTTTTTTCCTCAGCAATAATTATTATATTTCTGAACAGATTAATTTTAGCTTTATGTGGAAAGTAATATTGCCATATGAATTCACAAGATTTTGGCTACAATCCACACTTTCCTGGGAATGAGTTATATTGAACTCAGTTGGAAGGAGAGCAAAAAGGTAGTGTTTGCAAGATCAAATGTCAGCTTCTGTCTGGAGTGGCTTGTTTTATATAAATTAAGTGTCAACTTGTATGCTCTCATCCATAGCAAAGAAACCCTTCAGTAACAACTCAAGAATTATGCTTTATACTAATAATATTTCAGCCCAAGTCAACTTTATGTATATAAGGTAATGTGCAGCCAATAAATTTTACAAATAAATAAATATGTTGAAAAGAGTAGGGAATGGTATTTCATAGGTTAATGGCAATGTGGTACAATAGATGCTCATAGTATCAATCCTAAAGACTAATAAATTGGGAAGGATATGCCTGTATGTGCGCGGCTCAGATTAGAAGGTTGAAGTATCTTGTAGCTGATTTCATGTTCAATAGTTTCAAAAGTTATTAAGAGACCCAGAAGAGCATATAGGGCATACTTTTCCCATTTGTTCCCCAATATAAGTCGTACAACAGGTCAATCAGGATCATATCCCTCTCATAACCAAGCCTAAATTTTGATCAGAATGTATCTAAATAGATAAGAGTATCCAACATTACTTGGAATTAAAAGATTACCTCAGATTCCAACACCTTGTCTAAGGACTGTAGGTTTGAAACTAAATAGTAATTATCCAGAGCTGTGTGATGAAATTTGTCTTCTTCAACTTCAACTGTTGTTCCAAATACGTCTGATAATAATCTGATAAAATCATTAATTGTAGTTGGAAATTTGTTTTGTTAAAATGCAAAACTATTTCCTGTCACTCTTTCTATTCAATTTCCTTGAAAACCAGTTGCAGTAAACTGTTGGACTTGTGAGGAGATGGAGGTCCCAATTTACCCTCAGCCATAGAAGCCCACATAGGAAGAGGAAGTATTATGTACACTCTTCTGAGTTCCTATTGATATTGATTCCTAATGATACAACAGTGGTGGGACTTATCTCCGGGGGAGATGAGTCTGCCTACCAAGATGAGGTGGACTGGTTGCTTTCGTGGTGTGGAAACAACTTGGTCCTCAACACCAATAAAACCAAGGAGCTTATAGTGGATTATAGAAGGAACAGACCAGACATCCAGCCCTTGCTTATCAATGGAGACCGAGTGGAGCAAGTGGCCAGTTTTAAGTTTCTGGGTGTTACCCTAAAAAAGGACCTAACCTGGGGTGCCCACATTGCAGCCCTGGTCAAAAGGGCCCAGCAGAGATTATACTACCTGAGACTTCTCAGAAAACAACAACTGAATGAAAAACTGTGTGACCTTCTACCGCTGCACCATAGAGAGCATTTTAACATACTGCACCTCTGTATGGTTTGCCAATTGCACAGTGGCAGATAGGAAAGCGCTCCAGAGGGTTAACATCATTGCCCAGAAGATCATTGGTTGCCCTCTCCCCTTTTTGGAAGAGCTGTATAGCTCCCGCTGCCTTAAGAAAGTTCAAAACATTCTCAAAGATCCATCTCATCCTGGGGAACCCTTTTTTTTAACTATTACCATCTGGCAGATGGTACAGAATAATAAAAACAAGGACAAATAAGCTGAAAAACAGTTTCTATCCCAGGGCAGTAGCTCTTTTGAATTCTGCTGGATAGTGCAGTGTTGGTGTGGTGTCAGGGGTTTCCGGTTCAATGTGTGAAGGGTGAAGGATGTGTGTTTGTGTTTATTTTCATTTTCATGGTCATGATGTACACTGAAGATGGTGTTTGATTTCGTTGTACAAGGTTCAATGACAATAAAATAAAATAAACTATTGTAAAATGTAGGATATAAAAGTAATTAATAAACATATATAATTTTATATAAGTAGAAAAGTTTTGCATACTTCCATAGATAACCAATTTTGGAATAATAACATTTTGAGATTTATTCATATCTGATACAGTTATTGATTTTTTTTACTGTAGAGTTTTCAGTGAAGAGTCTGTTCCCATTTGGGAAAGCAGATTCTTTTTGCAGTACAAATTTATACATTTTTCTGGAGGCTTATGTAATTATATTTTATATTAATTAAATAAAAATAACTTAATTTAATTTAGATAAAAATAAAAATGACCTGATTTGGCTAAAATGTTGAATATTGTTTAAACGTACTGTTTATTTATTTATTTTTCTTGATACAAGTTTCAAGCAAAAATGATTGCTATGGAAGAAGAAAAGGTAATATGAACACTTGTATAATTTACTTGTTCAATTAATGTTCAGTTAGCGGTTGAGTATTTAAGTGCTTTGTGTGGAAGGTCCTGGCAGGTGTTCATTTCTTAATTTCCAATAGCAATGTACAATAACTGATAAGTCCCATTAAGAATGTTGATGGCCTTTCAACATAGCTTCCCAAATGTTCTTGTGAATGCTTTCAGAAGGAAACATCAGCTATAGTCCTAAGAGTACATGAAATACTTCAATTAATCTGGGGTACTATTATAATCTTTTTAAAAATGATTTTGTGTTATTTATAGTTTAGGGCAGGGGTGGGATTCTACTGGTTCAGACTGATTCGTGTGAACCGGATGTTAAAGTTACAGCTGGTTTGCCGAATCAGTATTTCAACTGACTGGCTGCCCCTGCCCCTCCCACCCCTCCCATCCCAGGAGTCTCCACATAGCCCATTTTCAATGAAGGTTAGTGCAGGGTCCGCGCAGAGGCTCTGGGAGGGGAGAAACGGGTCTACTGGAAGTCCAGAAATGGATCTGTTTCTAGTTTCTGGAGGGCCTCCAGAGGCTGGGGGAGATTGTTTTTACCTTCTCAGAGGCCCGGGGGAGGCCTCTGGATGTTTGGGAGGGTGAAAAATGGCCTTCCTGAAAAAACTGGAAGTTCCAAAACAGTCCTGTTTCTGGCTTCCGGTAGGCCTCCAGAGGCCGGGGAGACTGTTTTTGCCCTCCCAGAGGCCCGGGGGAGGCCTCTGGACCCTTGGGAGAGTGAAAACAGCCTCCCCTGGGCTCTGCAGGCCCACTGGAAGCCAGAAACAGGAAGTTCTGGTAGGCCCCACCCTCCATGGCCCCGCTCACCCAGCAACCGGGCAGTGAATCAGTTGCTGGGATATTTGAATCCCATCCCTGATTTAGGGTCTTTTTTAAAAAAATATTCTACATTGTAATCTGCAATGGATTCTTAACATAGTATAATACATACAGTAAACATTTATTGGTAAGGTGGGAAGCAAAAAAAAAATATTAAATAAATAAATACATTGATACTAATAAATACGCCGTTCTAGATTTCAGTCAAAATATGGTCTAAAGAAATAATTATACAATGTTTGGATTAATGAAGTTTATATGTAATTAGTGATAAAGCTGACTTTTGCAATTGGCAGGTTACTATAAAATAATAGAATATGTGAATATAATTCAGAAGCTGACTGCATGTTGTGCTGTTTAAACTTAATGGGCCATATATGAAAAGTAAAAATACCAGTTTTTTGCAAAAAAAAATATAGAATTGGAGTAATATTTTCCTTGTGTATCAAGACAGAATTTGAGGATCATTTTATAACAATTTCAAATAGAGACAATAGGTTACTGTAGAAAAATATAAAGAGATATATATTCTTCAGTAAGTATCATTCTCAATATCTTTGCAATAAATATATTTCCATCCTTTAAATCAGCACAACAGGAAATCCCATTCAGTAACGGTATTCAACACAGAGAAACATAGGCACCTATAGCTGGCTACAATGATGGAAAAGTGACATTTGTGACATCACAATATAATTTCTGTCTTTACATATTTGTATGGTAGTATGTAAGTTACAGAGTTTGCATCATGATGTCCTTATATATGTTTTATTAGTTATCCCTCACTGGATCCCTTGGGAGTTAGTCTTTCTCAAGTATGTGTGCTCACAAAATAAATGTGCACATATATATTAGTCTATTATTATTTATCCATAATGATAAATACATTTTAGAAGACTTATTTAAGAAGTGAATGACATAAGAAATATTTCTTTGAAGGGAAAACACCTGCTTGCTGTGGAATCAAAAGAAAGAGAAGTGGAAGGACTGAAAGAAACATTTAAAAACTTACAGGTACACTAACATTGAATTCAAGATGTGTTTATTTAGGACCTGTATAGGGTACAACAGTGCAGACCATTCATGATGGGTGTAATGAACAATCTAATTTTGCCGGTTAAATGAAAAATAATATAACGGAATCCCTACTCTTTTCCCAGTCATCTGATTAGTAGATTTAGTTTTTATTTATCTGTTTCCTGTGTTAGATTGAAAAGATTTGTTCTGCAAAGGGCTGAGGAAAACAACATACCTACTCAAAGAGAAAATAAGAAATCCTCTTTCCACTATCAGTCACAACACAATGTACTATGTCATAACTTTCATGGAATCTTTGATCTCGGCAGCTTTTGCTATAGTCAACTTCTATAAACTGCAACAAATGTGTACGACTGATTAGAATGAGAGACAGTAACAGGATGGTCCTCCCAAAAACAGTACAATTTACACAAATACATATAATAAATGCAGAAATATGTAACAGTACATGCATTAACATATATTTTGTAGGTTTTGAAAATGTAATCATGGCTTATTATGGCTGTAATTTTTCTGTCAGCATAGAAAAGCAAGACATTCTTCTGATTTCTAATATCAGATATTTTATTTTCTTCACATCGGGAGATACAGAATCACTATTTCTTTCAAGAACAATAAACTTATCACTAAGTTAATGCTGTTCAAGACAGTGTTTTAATGGGTTAAGTTAAAAAAAAAAAGCCAACTCTTAAAATTTTATTTTCTGTCATTTCTTTGAAGAGTCATAGGATCCCATCTATTCTCCACCATCAGGTTGGAAAGGATGATGTTTTGTGATATATCTTTGTCATGTGTTCTGATAAATTTTGAACATAACATAATTCTATTCTCAAAGAAAGAAAGGCTGATACACATGACTGGGTCAGAATCAGGCACACAACTTCTTCTGTCATGTATGATACATAGCACATGATTTCCTATACATTGTTGTCTCAATATATTACAATATGATGGGTTTCTTTTGAACTGTAAATATATTTTGATCTATACTGGTAGGAATGGACACAGAAACAAGACAGTTGGGTTTTTTTGTTTGTTTACTATTTATTGCTTTCCCCTTTTATTCACCAAGTATGCTGACTCACACCAGCAGAATAACAGTCATGTCAAGCTCATATGCCACAGAGTGGTACAGGATATACGGTATGTAGGATCTCGAAGTAGTTCTACCTGGACATTAAGAACCATGTATCTAAAGAAGCCTCAGTTAACTTCAGTGCATCAGTAAGGTCTTTCTATTTTTTGTCTTTTCATTATTTTTTACATTTGAGAATGAATACAAATCTGTTCAACAGTAAATTGAAGACAAAATATACATAGTGTAAATTAAAGTACTTGATTCATATTTGGGAAAGCCAGAAGTACAAGTTGAGATTTCTAATCATCTTCATAGAAGCAAGGTGTTTTCTGTGATGGAAAGATTCCCAATCTGAAGCTCTGAGAGCAGAACATCTTCAAGAATCTCTAAATACCAAAGCATATCAACTGATTCTGAATGGACAAAGTCAATGCCCTCAATTTATAAAGTATTTCTTTTGGTTGTGATCAGAAGCAATCATGTAAGTCTGATTGTGTATGAACTGCTTTCAGCTGAATCATAAACCTGATTGATGTGACAGATGTTGTAGAATCTTTTCAAGCCGGATAAAATCAAGCATAGATTCTTCTCATAGACCCAGATCATATTCCTCTGAGATCTACTGGTACTGATTTGGTCAAATTAAAATATGGAGTTACTTTTAGGAGTCTACTATGGGAAAGAGAACCTTCAGCGCACTCTAACTAAATTGCTTCTTCTGTATTCTTAGAATACAGATTATTGTGAAAAAGAAGCTAATCAAACTTCTTGGATAGTATGAGAAAAGCTAAATACAGCTACTTTATTGTTACTGATAAAAGTAAAGTTAAATAAAAACATGATGGAAGCTTTAGGAAACATTATATTTATTTCATTCCCTACCTTTATTACAGTGAATTCGTGTGTTTTATTCATGAGATGGAGCTCACAAATTCATGTAATATTTAGAGAGATGGCAGTCTTCAAATTTTGAGAACTCGTAGCTTAGAGATAGCTTTTCAAATGAAAGGCTGTTTCTTAACAAGGCAGTGAGAACAGATATAACTTTAGCAACCTTTAAGAAACAATACTAGGGTGGACAAGTCTGCAACATTTCCATTTTAAGTACTAGTTCCCCATTCATTCAAATAATATTCTGGACCAATAAGAAATGATGCTGAGAATATAAAGGAAATTGCTGATTCCTAACAACCACCACCACAAGAAAGACTTACTTTTTTATGATGTTTCAATCTTCTTGGTGAAATGAGAACTGTTCCATTGCAGTTCTGTATATAGTATTTCAGAAGTCATCTTATGTGGACATCTTATCTTGCTTTTTTTATTTTTGAAGTAGACATAAAATGATTATTACAATGTGTGAATTGCAGTATAAATCCAGTTGTATATGGAATTTAATCCTGAAGTAAATAATTTTTTTTCTTGCCAACAAGAATAAAACTTCACAGAGAGACTTTTTAAAACTCCCAAAATGTTCATGCTAGGATAATTAAATCTAGATTAAAGTGCCTACTTTATAGAAATTATTACCTGGATATGCTTCTTCTGTTTTAAGTTTAAGAAAAACAAAATCTGTCAAGCAAAAGAAGTAAAAAGGAATTCTGAAACATCTTTTGGAACTATATGAAACCAGAGTAACTTCTCACTATTAAATATTTGTACGCAAATTTTAAGCCACACCTTGACATGAAAATAGAACATTTTACTAAAAACTTATCCTTTAAGCATTATTTATTTACCTTTCTTTTTACTCTGCCACAATGGGAAAAATGTTATCTGCCATTAATTCTGTACTGATTACTCTTTTCCCATTAACTTTATAAATAGCTTGGTTATTTTGATGTCATTCTTTGTTTATTTAATAATCCAGTTAATCCTGAGATTATTGTAAAAGCAAATTCCTTCACATTGTTGACCTTCTGTGCAAAAGGCTGAAAGGATTTGTTATGCCTTGCTCAATTCATGACACAGCAGAAGTGATATATAGTGTACTTCATGGTTGGGTGAGCATGTTACATAGTTTTAAAGTAATAAATGCTCCCTTGCTTTTCTTAACTAAGATAAACTTGGGGAAAAAGTCTTCTAATGGTAGAATCTTATTTATACTGATTATAGCAAAGGTTTTGTAGTGAAATACTTCTAATTTTATTTCAGCCAGCTCAGTTACACTAAAGTAGTTCACATATCCTATTATATAGAACATATCTGGTTATCAGAAAATATACAGAATAACTTCTTTTCTTAGCTGATCAGGTAAATTATCAGGCTTCTTTTATTCAGAATAGAACTCTTATGCAATTCTGATAGCAGCAATTATAAGCAGATGCTTTTACAAAAGCTATTGAGAACCTGCACCTTATCTTCCCTGTTAAAACATAGATATTAACTAAATCCCACTTAACTAGCAAGGGAAGGAGCTGCTGCTCCAATGCATGGTTGTTCCCTTCTTGCACTATTTGTTCTTCATTTCTAAGCACATGAACTAGAGAAATCTTATTTTTCAATTTAAAAATTAAAAATATCTGAAATGTAGATTAATTATTATTTTATTGACACAACTGACATTTATTCAGGTGAATGGGTTTAGCTTTAGCTTTCTTTGAACATATTGTTTGTGGAAATATCAGTTTGTAAAATGTCTGCTTATATAGCAGCTGCTGATCACAATATAGGATTGATAGCACTAATGGTCTGCCATTTTTAATGCAAAAATGTGAAAAGTTGGTAATCAAAGTTTGTCTTATATCCTACCCTGTCCTGCTCTGCGCAGCGCTGCCCTATCCTATCCTATCTATTTATTTTTCTATGATTCCAAGTTTAGAATTGCTTTTTCTTTATATCAGATTGTTTATGGATACTTTAAGTTAATAAGACTAGTCATAATTCTGGTCCTGGAGAGACTTGTTTTGAAAATTCTGCAAGTCAAAAATTGTCTACTCATTCCTATTCATTATTCACCGTTGTTTAGCCAAACATTGTTCTCTTACCTTATGGCTGCTGAATTTGCTCAGGAGACTTAGTAAGGGATTGGTAAAAACTTTTCTGAATACCCAGATGTAGTTAGAGTACAAATATTATAATCGGTGGTGTTGCCATGCTGGCTGCGACTGACAGAAGTTTGAGGGTAGTAGTATCTGCAGTGCCACAAATTAATCTAGCATTTCAGTGTTATACAACTGAAAATATCCAAGCAGATCTTTTTTCCAATCAAGAAAGTTAATGCATAGAAAATCATAAGATTTTTGAATGAAATTTTCATGACTGACATTTTAAAAAACATTATAAATTGTTATTTTTACTTCATTGATATGCATAAATATGAAAGGTGAGAAAACTTATTTATTCATTAAATATGTTTGTTGCCCATCTCGCTTTTTAAACTTCTGAAATTTCTTTGTCGTGAGTTTGTCTTTTAATCACAAAAGAGAAGGCTTGGTTGTGGATAATAGTTTGTAAACTGATAGACCTTGATACTAAAATTCCCCTTAAAATATTAAATTTGTAATCATTTCTTTAAAATAGTATAATGACAAATAATTGTTAACTGATATTAAATGCATTAAGATAAGTAATTATGCTAAAATATTGATAAAACTGTTTTTATTGTAACAGATTTCAAAATACACATTGCAAAAGAAGCTTAATGAAATGGTAAGTGCTATAAGGAAAAAAATAGAATATTAATCTCTTGTTCAATGAATGAAAATTCTATTCATATGAGATCATTGTGCTCATGGATAGATGTTATTTTGGAAACAAAACTCTTCCTCTGGTCATGAAAGAAAAAGCTGAACTGTATGTCAAACATTTTGTATTTTATGTGAAGTAATTCTAATTAAGAACTCTTGCAACATTTAGGTTGTACATACATCACTGACATTAGGTAACTCAAGCAGCTTTTTATTGAATGCTAATATTTCTAAAATTATTTATCCAAGCAGTATTTGGTCTTTTTGCGCTTGTGAAATTCTCACTTGTGCATTCTCATTCGCCACCTTTCTTTGTAAAATAATCTATTTTTATTAGCTACATGAATTAAATCTACATGAATTAAATCTACATGAATTAAAGTGACATGTGTCATGATGAATCTTTTTTTCTATTTGGAAGGCAGTATTTATAATTAAAATATGCATACGAGACCTGCATTTTATTTGAATTTTGAAATATAAAATACTGTAGGGAACATAAAATGCTGTAGTGTTCTTCTTCTTCCACTATTATATAGAAAAATAAGAGTCCTGAACAGTCCACTCTGAACCATGTTTGAATTTAAAGAGAGCTTTTCAAACACTGCTAAGCTTGATTGACTAAAAGCTGTGAAAATTCTGCTGCTGCTCAACTGGAAAGAACAAAGATAATATTGTCAGACTATTATAAACTGTTATTTTAATTAAGAAGCTCAAAACTAGAGTCCAGTTTAGCCTTAAGTACCATGACATTTGTGCAGAAAGTCATCTTCAACGCTACAGTGGTTTTACACAAAATATGGTGAAATTGAATAATATGTCCTTTGACCTGAGAGATAAGGCTACAAGTTAAAGATCAAAGGCAATGTAAAATGTGTTTACCCTATTTCACTTTTAAGTTAGATTCTTTATTTAACTTGTGTTCTACTACCCACACTCATAACACACAAAGATATGACCATTGTACATTTTAATTCTTAATTAATTCTTTAATTCTTAATTTTACAAATGACACTTTATTTCACTTTTACTTTTATGTATCTGATATAAAGTAGATTTGGAACTTATTTGATAATTTCTTCATATTTTAGAGTAAAGATGATAATATCTGATATTTACAAAATATATTCAGAATCATACAAGTGCTTTAGCTAGTGATGGTTTGAAATCATACTTTAATGATGAAAAGAATTTTCACCATGCTATTTGAATACCTATGGGAAGCAAACCTGTTGGCAGGACACCATTCTGATACAACCAGATGTTCAATAAAGCATAAAGCTAGCCTTTGAAGTATGGTAGCAACTCCCTTACTGATCAAGTCTGGTTTTTTGCTTTTCTGATAAGAATAAAACTGCATCAAGAGATAATGAAGGAAAAGGACCATAGATTGAAATCCATGTCTGATCCTGTATTGTTCATTTTTCCCGTGAGCACTGTCCCTATTTTTGTTTTTTTCCTATTTATTACTAGTGATGCACATAAAAGGAAGGATTTCTTAATCTATTTCAATGGCCAAGTGTGAATGTTTGTACTCAGTTGTAACAAATAACAGAGCTTTACATGAAGGATATTATATTAATATATCACAACACTTTTCATAGAGTTCAATTTTTTTTGCTAATTTTCTTTCCTATTAGCAGTGATAAATGTGTTCCTAGCATTTTTGTAACCTGGGAATGTGTAGTATAAGGTTTTGGGATTTGTTTTTTTTTTTTAAATGGCTATGACAATGACTCTTTATACTACATTAATAAGTTAGCTAATTTTGGTGCAATTGAGCCAAAAACTACAGCCTTAAATGTTTTCATATATCATGCTTAGGCCCTGAAATATTTTTCCAGATTGTTTTGTTTGCTTGTTTTTGCCTAGGGGGCATAGGTGTAGGTATTATGTGCATTAAAAAAAGACAGAAAGAAAAGGAAAAGACAGAAAAAAATAGTAACAACAACAAAAGAAATTCTAAAACTGGTACAAGGAGAGCAAAATAACTAATTTCATTTGTGAAGATTTTTATAAACACGAGAAATTTTATATTAGACCTTATATTTCTGGATTCCCCCAATTTTTCTAACTATGGTATATATAATTTTTTTGTTGCAGTTGCCTATTAAAGTATAGAGAGATTAGTCCACTTTTGTTGAAATTCCCAAAAAATTATTACTGACCATGAAAAAATCTGAATTTATTCTTCTCAACTATGGCAGGAAAAATCTCATAAATTTATGAGTTGACAACCTGAACATTTTATCCAATTTCAATCAGAAGTAAAAAGAAGCAGAAAACTTCTTAGTTATAAAATCGATTGCAATTGATCTTGCTGCAGGAATGGTCTGGTTGTGTAAATTAATACATGTAAATTTAATTAAATGAAAATGTAAATGTAAAAGAGAAAAAATATAAATTTAGTAATAAGCATCAAGTTTGTTTCACAGGGTAATGCATTTAAAAATCCAAAGTGAACTAAATACAACTAATAAATACAAACTTAATTTGTATTATTTTTCACTTGCAGAGAATATTCTAGAGCACATGCAAGTAGATGCAACATTCCAGACATGCTTAATCCTCATTTTGTTGTGCCTAGGGCAGGAACTGCTATTTTAAGCACACGAATAAAAGATAAGCATGAATAGCTGACAACCAGGGAAATAATAGAACAATATATGCAAGGAAATATTTTTGAGATTGTTTTGACCATATCTATTTTGAATAATTAACTCCAGTATACTAATACAACCTAATTCCAGAAATAAATGGCATTTTTATCCACAAAGACAGGCATAGGTATATGTTGTTGTTTGATGGTAGTAAAAGTATCATTACAGAAAGTAAGCTGTTCCAAGTATCATTGCCTTTTGCAATTGGTGTTAGTGATTTTGTCAGCGCCAATTGTATTCAAGTGGTGCTCCATATATATATTTATTATTATTAATTTCTATACAGCCTGACTCCCAATGACTCTGCTTTATTGCAGGTAAAAGCTTGAAAGTAATAAAGTTGTAATAAAACTTGAAAAGCTTGAAAGAAATAAAAGCTTGAAAGAAAGCCTACTTTTAAATGAGGCTAACATTAGAATAACTGTATTTAGAATTATTGTTTTATGGATATTACATCATACAATATTTCAAAGAATGTTCTTTGTTTTTGCAGGAGCACAAGATGCAATTGTACAATTCATCAAAGGAAGATTATCAGAAAAGACTGAATGAATTTGAAAAATGCCATGCAGTTATAATGAATCAATTTGAATTAATAAAAGTTGCTCATGGGAAATTAGAGAAAAATGGTAAATATTTAATACATTCTGGACACAATTTAATAAATATAACTTAATAATGATAATAAAGGAGACTGCTTCTAACTTTTCAAAAGAGATTTTAACTTTCTTGTCAGAAAAAAAGTTCACAAACACATTTTCTAAAATGAGCTCACTTTGTAGAATATGTGATGTAACACAATGAAGATTATATTTTAATGTTATTTTTTTATTTCCTATCCCACCCTTTATGTAAGTTGTGGAAGCAATTCAGATCAACAAAAACTTGTCAGCAATTAATACAACACAAGAGTCTGAGATAAATAACCTAAAACAGGTAGGTATGAAATGCATTTTGTTTTATCCCTGGTGAGTTTAAAGCATTCAAACACAGGTTGACATATAATCTAACAATTGGGAATCCTGTTAAAGTAATCAGCTCCAATAATTTGTTGCAGGTTATCAAGATTTGTCTGCCAACTCATTTGCTATAAACAGTAATCCCTAAAAAGTTCCTACTGTTTTTCTGTATCTGATGCTATAAATAATCTTTTGCTTAGTGCCTAGGATGAAATAGCTACCTTCACTTTTTTTTTTTTTTGGCTTAAGGCTTAGAGTAGAATATACTATCACCAGAATGCTCTTACTGGAGCATAAGATTTGATGAGACATTGTGTTTTTATAATTATTGTTTTTGCTGATTTTGTACTTTCAATATTTGCTATATAATAGAATATATTTTATTATATTGTATGCCATGATGAGTCTTGAAAATATGGTAACATTTAATTTTATTTAAAAAATTATAACAGTGGTATATATAATTTATGGCCTCAGAATTTCATATAACTCCAGAAAGTTTTGGATGAAACATTTAAAAGTTATCAATTAAAAACTTAAAAATTTAAAGAAGGAAATGGTGAAATATATGTGAAGGGAATGTATTTATTCTACTTAATTTTCATTACAATCAAATGCAACCTAGATGTAGATTTAATTTTTGTTTTGGCTCTTGCCACTACTTGTAGTGCAGTCAGTGCAACCACAATAGAAAGGTCAAAAGATGGTGGATGTGACCTCCCACCACTGATGCTGCTGCACATGGCCCGTGTTACAGAAAAAACATAGAACATGTTATAGCACTAGCATTAGCACTTAGACTTATATACCACTTCACAGTGTTTTACAGCTCTAAGTGATTTACAGAATCAGCATATTGCCTCCAACAATCTGCGTCCTCATTTTACCCGCCTCAGAAGGATGGAAAGCTTGAACCTGTGAGATTCAAACTGCTGAACTACTGGCAGTTGGCAGTCAGCAGAATTAACCTCCAATACTGTATTCTAATCACTGTGCCACCATATCTCAGATGTATGTAAAGATATTTAACACCTTTTTGTGCAGTGCAAAAGAGTGTTAAATTTAACATATTTAACATACTTTTGTACAGTGCTATACACATAACCCTTCCGTTCAATTTTTGGGGATTGCCCGGACAAGTCCCTGCAGTTTTCTTGGCAAAGAATTTCTTTTCCAAAGAAACATGTCATATTTGATTTAGCATTCACCTCTCTCTTTCTGCTTGTTAGTTAATGGGGAGAGGCCTATCACCTTCTGGGAGTAGAAGATGCCATATAAAGCACTATCCCGTTAGAGAAAAGGATGATAAGCTGCAACAAAACCTTATATGTGTCTTCTAAACAGAAAAAGGAAATGTCATGTCAGCAAGTCCAGCATTTTGACAATGCTTCTTAGGCAAGAGCAAACAGAAGGAATATCATGCTTGCTGTTTTGATTCTATTGTTCAGTAGCATTTTTAAAAAAATCTGGCTTCATTGCATGCACTTCAAGCATCAGCATTTGAAGAGAACTATAGGTTAGAAATAGTTTCTCTTTGTAACATCACCTTCTGTTGGACTATGACTGAAATAAATTTCCCTTAAAAAGTAGCTTTATTTATATAACCTGATATTCATAAAGTTCAGCAACTGGAATATTTATTTCTATTTTTCCACTGTTTTATGATTTTGTCCAGAACAGTTAAACTGTTGGACTGTGATAAGCGGAATTCCATTTTTATGAAGAAAAGTTAAACAGACCAAACTTAGTTCCTCCTAGATAAAGCTACCACCATTTGAATACTTGGTTCAATGCTATGCCATTATGAAGAATTCCTGATATTATCTACAAATAGCATTCATAACCTTTGCTATTTGTCTAAGTAAACGTCAGAACTCTCAAGGAGAGAGAGATATTAAACAGGCTACCCCATACCAAAAAAAGAAAAAGAAAAAAGGAAGAGGTATGGAAAGATGGAATATTTATGACTCTGAGATCTATATTTTGTAATTTAATAAGCTCAAAGCGTGTACTGTTTATTTGCTGTATTAGCTGCTGTGAATAACCTAGGTAGAAAAAGGAAAGAATAAAGTAAAAGGCACTGCAAAGAATATCATATTTTAATGCATTTTTACATTTTAAAATTAAATTTTTAGACATAATTCAGGTAAATTGGACTAGGCATCTTTAATCCTTATGAGATCAACAATTATTTATATTAATAATATAAATTATATCCAACTTTTCATTGTTGAAAATCTCAAAGAGAGCTAAATCATTGACTTGCTCCATCTAATCAGGAAGTCATGGCAAATCTTTTAGTAATATAGCAGTATAGAAGAAACTGTTTAGCATTCTTCAGTAATATTTCTAGTAGTGTTCAAACAAAAAAAGAACAGTGTAGACAGCATATGGGTGAATGTAGAAGGAATATATTTAATCATAAATATCACTCCTGAAATGATGTCATTGTTTCCATGATGATGATGATGATGATGATGATGATCAGTGTTCCAATATCTCAAGGGCTGCCACAAAGAAGAGGAAGTCAAGCTATTTATTCTCTAAAACACCTGAGGGTAGGACAAGAAGCAATAGGTAGAAACTAATCAAGGAGAGAAGCAACTTATAACTAAGGAGAAATTTTGTGACAATTAGAACAATTAATCAGAGGAACAACTTGCTTCCAGAAGTTGGAAATGCTCCAGTTTATTGCACAGTCAGTCAGATGTTTAGACTGGATTTGGCATTTTTATCTACCATCAAGTCCTTCCCGATGATGATGATGATGATGATGTTTGAGTTAGTTTTGACTTCTGGACAAGTCCCTTCAGTTTTCTTGGCAAGGTTTATAAAAAAATATGGGTCACTGTTGAGAGAGTGACTGAAAGTCATTCCAAGTCACCTTGTTGCTTCCTGCCAAAAGAGGTGTCCCAGCTTCTGGTTTCATGCCTTTAACTACTATACCAAAATTGGCTCTCAGTTACAAATCTGTTCTGTTTTCCTGGCAACATTTTTGAAAGTGGTTGCCGCCTTCTTAGGACTGAGAGAGTGTCCCAAAGTTAGCTAGCTGGCTTCTGTGCCTAAAGCCGAATTAAAGCACGGCTCCTCATTCCTAGTTCAGTGTCTTAACCTATAGATCAAACTACAGTAGTTCTCTAAACTTCTATTAATGCCAATAATGTGCTTGGTCTTTCTGTTTGCCTTATTAAAATACCAAATTTTCATGATCCTATGCAATAGAATATTTCAATAGATTTTCTCCATGATGATCTGTCCCTAACCTGGTCCTTCAAGTTTTCCAAGTTTTCCAACTGAGTTACAGTTGCTGCTGGTCATTTTAGAAAAGTATTAATTTAAATATAACTTTTCATCCAGTTTTCATACATGGATTTTTAATTAATATTTATTTATTAAGGAACTAAGGAAAGTTACATCAAATGTGATAAAATCCAAGGTTACCTGTCAATATAAAGTGGAAGAAGATCTCAGTCGAAAAGCAAAGGAACTGGAGCTACAAATACTACAGCAAAAAAATTCAGTGGTATTTCTAATATTATTAATTTAGAAAAAGAGACTGTACTTATTTTAAAAGGTGATTTTAAATTTTATATTTTAGGGAGCTGTAATTAATGTATTTATAACTTGAATGTTAAATAATTTAGCTTAATACCTCCTACACAGCGTAAGATTTTAAATTCATGTTAAATTTCTTGTATATTAAAATAAGCACACTATTGAGTACAGTAGTAAACATTAATCAACTAAAGGGACCAGTGGAATTGATATCAATATGCTTATTTTATTTATAGGAAGTAGATTTAAATGGAAAAATCACAGAAGAAATTGCAAGACTTAAAGAAGAGAAACAGGTTATGTTTCACATCAGTTATCAATTCTGTTTTCTCAATGGTGGGACCCTTATTGTGTAATTAATTGTCACAGGAGTTGAATTATTTCCACTCTTCACAGCAGCACAGGAAGGGTTTAAAGACAAGTGTGCGTGCATGTGTGTGTACACATACACTCACACATACACACAAACCTTTGTATGTATGACATTTTTGTGTACACCTGAATTAATCACTGCTGTATGCTATTTCCTTGACTGTTTTTTCTGCATCCACACAGTTTTGGTCACACATTTTTTCATGTATTATATCAGAAGTATTCAAACCCAGATAGTGCAACTTTTGAATGAATTTTTCTCTGTGTTGACTTAATAAAACACTTCCTTAATCTTTTAAATAAATTTGGTACTTCATGCCCTGCCACATACATAGGACAAACCAACAGAAGCATAAGTACCTGCCTTGAAGAACACAAGAATGTAATAAAAAAGCTCGAACACACTTCCTCACTAGTCCAACATATGAAAGCCACAGGTCATAGCATCGACTTCAGTGGCACCAAAACCCTAGTTACTATAGAAAACCCCAGCTACAGAATCATCAGAGAAGCCATAGAAATTGATAAAAGACCTAATAGTATGAATAGAAGAGATGACACCACCAGACTATCAATCATCTGGAAGCCTGCATTCACAAACAAAAAAATCTCTACATCACAATCCAGGCAAGCACCTGGACACAAACAACCCCCCCCCCCCATAACTCCAGCCCAAACACGCCCCAGCCAGCTACCCAAATAAAATCTAGCTTCCTAATAAATAATTATCGGCCATTCACAAGAAACCAAGCTGCACTAAGAAATCCCAATGCACAAAACACAATGTTGCCAACCAATCAAGAACACAGCAACTTGAAGACCAATAAAGACAGACCTAGACTCCCAGCCAATCAAAATGAGGAAAAAACCATTCAAATAAATCAGAAAGCCAGCACCAAATTCAAACAAAAAATGGATGCTAAGCCTGACACACAAGATTAAAAAGAACCCAATACACAAGCCTGAGGATGGCAGATGAGATTCTGCCGAAACATCGCTATAATAAAAGCACAAATATTAAGATGTGGGAAAATACCCGAAGAAACCTAAATACCATACATATATCAATTTATACATGTATACACGCATATCCTCACACATACATTTAATGCTTCCATCATTACTTTACAGAGTAATCCTATAACCTGAAATATTATACTTTTTGTTCTATTAAACAGGAGATTATGGCTTCTCTACAACATATGCAGCAACTGCTTTACAGACAGACTGAAAGAAATAACAGAATTGAGGTGGAGCTGAATAAACTAAAAGTAGAGTATCAGGTAAAATGTTGACTCTATATGAATGTATACCAATAATCCACAATTCATTTTAAATAATTAAAATGAAGCATTCTAAAATGAGAATTATAGGATTCTTTGCAAAAGTTACATCAGATAGTATACAATGAGTTCCTCCTCCCTTGACGGAATGGCTTCTGTCATCAGAAAAAGGAAGGAGCCGATTTCTCTCCCTCTGAACCCTACCATGTATCCTCCAAAACTGTTAGAAGATTTCCCCTAGTACAGGTAGTCCTCAACTTACAAGTGACAATTCCTAGTTACAATACCACTGAAAAAATAACTTATGACCTTTTTTCACACTTGTTTGCAGCACCCCCCTCGATGTGTGATCAAAATTCAGACACTTGGCAACTGACTTATGAGAGTTGCAGTATTCTGGAGTCATGTAATCACTTTTTATGACCTTCTGACAAGCAAAGTCAATGGGGAAGCCACATTCACCTAACAACTGTGTTGCTAACTTAACAACTGCAGTGAGTCACTTAACAAATGTGGCAAGAAAGGTCATAAAATGGGGCAAAATTCACTTAATAAATGTTTCACTTAGCAACATAAATTTGGGACTCAATTATGATCGTAAGTTGAGGACTACCTATAATGTAGATTATAGTTTGACATTATGCCACATTCTGGAAGCATTCTTTGAAATAACCTTTCCTGAAATCCAAGCTTAAAAATATGTTTTACATGGAACATTTACTTAGTTCATGTCAATGCTTATGTGTGATGGCCAAGGGTGGGATACAAAACAAACACAGTCACAGAAAACAGGTGAAGCCCCTTTTATTCCTTCACTTTGCTTCCAAGCTCCGAATATTCTTGACAGAAGCCAAAAAACTCCCACACAAACAATTATAAGAAGAAAGGTAAAAGCAACACAAACCAGGCAAGATAAGGGCTGGAGGACATCCACAGATAACACACACTGGGAAGGATGCCAAACTCAGAGAGGAATCATAAACTAGAGATATTTCCAAGCTTTGTTTCCAGCGTTCGCGTGTACGCAGGTCCGTTCTCTTATTCAGTTGTCACAGCTGCAGCCCATGAAGAGGATCAAGGCCCTCTCCTCCCGAGTAGACAACGTCTCTCCCCTATCCTCTCCTCCCTGCGTGCCCTAGGATGGATAGGGGATGGGCCTGTGTCCTCCTCTGACTGCTCAGATGGCCTCTGCCCTTCCCCAGCCTCCTCCACAACTTCCGGAGCCACATTTCCATTCCCTGTCAGCTGTTACTCCTCTTCCTCAGAGTCAGTCTCCACCAGGGGCATGACACATTTGTGGTATTATGTTATGCTCCCAATAAAACTCTCATTATGTATAGTAGACATTTATAGTTCACATTTATAAATTTTCTGATATGTTTCTTCAATAGACAAAGTTATTAATATTATATATTTCTAATGTGATACGGTAGAAGTAGTGAATTGCAAAAAAACCAACCCTATTCATGTAGTCCTTCCTTACTGACCCCTTGTTCAATCACCATTCAAAGTCACAATGAGTTTAAAAGAACACCAATTAAAAATTCTAGTTCAAAATACATTTTTGTTGCTATATTATGTTAGGTAATTAAACAATCAAATAAATATTAATTTTAGGTATTTTTCCTACTTTATTGGACTAATTTAAATGGAAAATTAAATGAGAATAGACAAAACAAAAATAACTCAGTGAAATAGAAGCTGTTTTGTTTTTCACAATGCTTAGATTTTAAATCTAAGTAATATACAACATAAATAAAGCAAATTCAGATTTGATTTGTTTAATAAAATAATATTAATAAAAGTATATTCTGCTTTTATGGTGGTGTTTACATTCATAAACAAAGATTCGGAATATGCTACATTTCATATTTCTTAGGTGTGTACTTTATATTTTTCAGTACATTAAAACTTATGCAGTGAAACTGAATAATGATAAATATTCTTATATCCCTTTTTTATAACCTATTTTGGGTTATCTAAACTATATGCCCTTTCCTGTTAATTTATGAAAATTATTGTTGTGATAGCACATTATGGCACTTTCTGCATGTTATAAGAAAAGGACTAAGCAACATAAAACACATCAAAATTCATTAAAGTGGTATTGATTACTTTTTGGATAATTAATTTTATTGCAGACCCTTGAAAAAGATAATGAGATGCAAAGAGAGAATGCTAAAGAAAATGAACAAAAGTTAGCTAGCCTTCTGAATGAATATAAGAAAGTACAAGCAACTTGGAAGAATGAGGTTGGTTTATTAATCAAATGCTGCTGTATTAACAGAATTACCAAGTACTAAGCAAAATGTTCCAAATAAACTCAGGAGAAGATGACAAAAATAAGAATAGGACAAAAAATTATTTGGCTTTAAAAGCTTCATCCAGTTGGTATATTAAAGTCTTCTGAATAATAGTTTGAGAGTTTTTCATATTTATTTATTCGGTCAGAGAGTAATGGGTGCAACTATGCAATAAAATAAATGAGGGATGGTGGCTCAGTGGTAAAAGATGCTGAGCTCCCATTACTTGCCCCAGCTTCTGCCCACCTAGCAGTTTGAAAGCATGCAAATGCAAGTAGATAAATAGGTACCACTTTGTGGGAAGGCAACAGCATTCTATGTGCTTCAGTGTATAGTCATACTGGCCACATGACCACAGAAAAGTCTTCTGACAATTCTGGTTCCCTCGGCTAAAATGAAATGAGCAATGTTCCTAAGCAATGTTCTTCTATTAAATTGACTAAAAATATATCTTTCCCCCCACATTTATTATTATTAATCCATCACTTTCCTCCTGCTTCATGTCAAATTCAGGGAATTAGAATTTTCAGTTCACTATCTTCCATGTAATAAAAATCTATAACATGCCTAATTTAATTTTTAGCTGAACAAGAAAGGTGCACTTAAAAGATTTCAAATAAATTGAGGGCAAACATTTTAGAGGGCTTTCTGCTATTTATTCACACAATGTATAACTAAATGCATACCTGAATGCTTGCTATTTCTTCTTGTATTATTTTTATTAGTATATATGCTGGAATGCATGCCTAGGTGTAAAGGAGTACTATCATTCCTATTTGAAATAGAATGACTAAGGAGATTCTCAATCATCCAGGTCATGTTGTCCATCTGCATCTAAAAGAAAAGGATCACTCTTTTGAAGACAGCAAAGTTCACATTCTGGACAGAGAGGACCACTGGTTTGAAAGAGGCATCAAAGTTTCCATCTATGTTAAAATGGAACAGCCCAACAGATGGGTGTCCTGTTTACAATGCAGTCCTTTCAGCAGCCCCAAGAAGGTTTCATACCTGTTTACACTCTGATTCATTCAGAGGACTCTGAGGATACAGATAAACACCAAGTGGTTTCAATGACTCTCAGAGAACTAACAACTGACTCTTAAGAGTCCTAACAACCAGATGACTGCAAAGAATATAAATCCTTCCATTTCCCTCCAGTCAGTTAGAACTGAAGAAGCTTCCTGGGTAAGAAGTGGAATGTTTTCAAACAAAAAACAAGAAAGACCAGTTGCCTTTTGGAAAAAGCATATTTGGGACATTTGAAATAGAAATATTTTTCTTGAACTCTAGAACTATTTTGTTCCGTTTATAAATTCAATGCTAAAAATTATTACAAAGGAAATTATATGTCTATCAATTTCGTATCTTCAAAAGTAAAATTACTTTATTTTTGTTTTGCCCCAGGTAGAAAACATGTCTAATGAAAATAAAGAACAAAAAGAGGATAAGTATACACAAACTACAATGGAATTTTTAAAAGAACATGAACAAAAAGAAAATGGAAGAAACAACAATTTGGAGATAGACAGTGGTATAAACATAGGGAAAAAGCATTCAGAATATTTTGAAGGTATAATTATTCATAATTAAAACATAAAATGTTGACAATTAGTCAATATGGTAAAAAGTTGTAAAGTTATTCGTCCTCCTCATTTCTACAATGCCAACAGAAACACCAACATTGAGCACCCTAACACATCTGAACAATGTCACTTGTTCTCATAACTTTGTGTTTCTGCATCTGATTAACTTCCAGCTCAGTTGGCATAGAGGTAGAAAAGCTGTGAATAATGCACTGAAACTAGGTATAAAACGGGCAGATTTTTTATGATAAGAATTCTTGCCCTGGCCCACAGTGCTTTGTCTCTGCCTTCCACTTATCTGAGTCTCTGAGACTCTGAAGTTACCTAGCAGAATACTTTCCCATCTTCTCATGTGTTGTTTTTAACTGATAAAAAATCAATAAGATAGAATGATGGCTGAAAGGTAACTGTTTACCTATTTAGTTGGTAATATGGAGAAAGCATTGGTCAGCTTATGGGACAGCTATCTTTTGCAAGGCTGGCCATCCTTGGAGTGTATTGAAGTAATAATGTCCAAACCTTATAGGGCTTTATAGGTGATCGCCAGCATCTTGAATTGGCCCAGGTACCATGACACAGAAATATACCTCCTTGGTTCTGCAAAATGATAACTTAAAGAGAGAGGGAGCTTCTGTAGGGGAAATAAAGAGACATTCCAGCTTGAAGTCATTTTGGGGGAGAAAACATCTGAGGTCAAACCCTTAGGTTTACATTTGCTGTTTTCAAAAACAAGATTCTTATAATACAGATGGTCAGCCATAAAGTATCTACTGTTTTTGAGCAGAGGTGGGATTCAATTTTTTTTACTACCGGTTCTGTGGGCGTGTCTTGGTGGGCGTGGCAGGGGAAGGATATTGTAAAATCTCCAGTCAGAGGTGGTATTTGCTGGTTCTCCAAACTACTTAAAATTTCCGCTACTGGTTCTCCACAATTGGTCGGAACCTGCTGAATACCACCTCTGTATTTGACTCTATTCACATAATGGGTCTGGTTGCATACATTTGACAGACACTGTTTTTAATAGACACTGTTTTTAATAGATGGGATCTGGAGCATGCTTATTTATTTATTTATTTATTTATTTATATATATTTTTGTTTGTTTGATTTATATTGTCGCCTATTTGCCCATGATGATTCAAGGCGGCTTACACAATGTAAAATCATATTTAAAATAAAAACTAAAAACAAAAACAATAAGAACTAACAAAAAGAATCAAATAAATTAGTAAAGTACAATAGAACAAAATTTGGGAAAACAAAAACAAAACAAAACAAAAAACCAACTCCCCCCTGCAACCCGACGACAGCGGGTCACACTAGCCATCTGATGGGTTCCATTCCCCAGGCCTGCTGGCAAAACCAGGTCTTCAGTGCCTTTTGGAATAGTGTTAACGAAGGGGCCATTCTAATCTCTGGGGGAATGATGTTCCAGAGAGATGGAACCACCACAGAGAATGCCCTTCTAGGTCCCACCAGGTGTATCTCCCTCAGGGGTGGGACCCGCAGCATTTCCTACTTCCTCGCTCTAATGGGTCAGGTAGATGTCACTGGCAAGAGATGTTTCCTCAGATAACCTGGACCCAAGCCATGAAGGGCTTTAAAGGTGACAACCAGCACCTTGAATTGCACCCGGAAGCAAATTGGCAGCCAATGCAGCTCCTGCAGGAGAGGTGATACATGTGCATACCGGGGTCTGCATAAAACTATGCGGGCCACTGCATTTTGCACCAACTAGAGCTTCCAGATGCTCTTCTTTAGATTGTATTCTTCCCATCAGACTGGACAGACCCCCCCCCTTTTTTTTTTACAATGGAAAGACAGTATGAGACTGTCTCAGATTTACAGTCTTGAACTGAGGATAGGTGCTTATTCTCTGTAAGCATTTACCTCAATAACTTTAATATCATACCATATGTTAACATTCATTTATCTGCACTTTACACTAGCAGCAGAGACACCCATGGGAGGAGTACAAGGGGAAACAAAACGATGAAAGCAGTGTTGCAGCATTCTGAAGCAAGCCTTGTCTCTTTGTTAGGGGGACACATGCACATACTATATGGGTGAAGCTTGCAATACAGTGTTGCTTTTGTCATTCTGATGAAAAAACAAGCTCCTGAGAATATCCATGTTTCAAACTGCTTGCCTCTGGAAAAATAGCAAAGGTTACAGAGACAGAGTGACATTATTCCTGCTTTTATAGTCTATCTTCTAAACATTATGGGTTTCCAGTGTGAGTTTTCCTCAGGATGATAGAAAACCTGAGCACATTGAAAGCCAAGCATGACCAATATATATAGAAATACAATGAATTGAAAATTGATATTATTCATTTACTATTAATTGCTACTATTTTTTTTAGAAAAGCATTTTGCCTGTGTCCATGTTATGTGAAATATATTTAAAAGGAGTTTATTTTTAAATAATTTCCTGTTAATGATATATTCTAGATTTTAACAGATTTAAAATGACTTGCTAATTGTATGAATGAGGGTGATCATTTAAAAGAAAAGCCAAAGGGAAACTGTTATAAGCAAAGCCCTTTATATGTTCAATTACACCAGAGCTGACCTATAATCATGGATTGATAATTGCGAAGGAAGGGCAGTTCTAGAAAGAAAAATACCCTACTTGATAAAAGGCTTTAGGCGAAGGTAGAAATAATTCTCTTGGACAATTTTTATTCTATGTTGTTGCCATTAGAAGAACCTAAGACTTTCTTAAAGTGTTGAAATTAGATTGTTTTAATCCCACTATAGAATTGGAACATTCTATTGATTACCTGGGTGCTGGTATTGAATGCATTTCTGAGAGTACTGAAAATATTGAATGCATTTCTGAGAGTACTGAAAATATGAACAATACAATCCATGAGGAAGATTACTTGACAAATAAAGGAATCAGTGAGAAGCCTAAAGAACAAATTAAAATTACTTGTGAGAAAACTGCAAATAACCATATGAAATCTGAAATGGATTCTGTATTGTTACCAGTGATTAGCACAGGTGACTTGGATAAGTACAATACTAGTAATGCAGAAAAAACACCAAAACTTAATATATCTTCTAGTCAGAATGTAGGTATAAATATTCATATTGATGAAAACATTAATAATCTATTTCTGAGGAGAGCTTTAAGTACTGAAAATTCAGTTAGAGGTGTACATGAAATGCCTAACAAACACTTTGATAAACATAGTTCCAAATTGAAAGAAATGAATACAAAGGTTTTGCTTCTGGACTCTCAAGATCTACATGAATCTGAAATTGGAGACATGACAATTAATGAAGTTGCTAAAGTTAAACAGATAAACTTACATACTTCCAAAGATAACAGTGAGCAATTTACTGATTTTTTTAATGAAGAAAAAGAAAGAGAAAAATCACTGAATACAATAATGAGGAAAATAACTGTGGAAGGAAGCACAAAAAAATCATGTTCTTTGCTCATGAAGCCAACAGAAAATTTAATAAACGGAAACGGAAGGCTATCCTTTGACCTTCCAGTTATGGATAAAAAAACAGAATACTTAGATTTATCAAGAAAATGTCAAGATGAAGTTCAAATAATGCCTCTCTCTTTGAAGGAAAGGCCTCTCTCCCAAGAAATAAAAAATGCTCAGAGCTCAAGAAAAATTGATAAGATTATAAACATGCATAGTGATGTAAGTCAAGAAATACCAGGTAAGAAAATATTTAAATGCTAATAGATATTTAAAATTATATAGCCACAACAAGAAGTGGTCATAAATTGACATCCATTCATAACTAATGTGTACTAGAATTTGGGGAGAAGGGAGGGGATTGCTGCAAAACAAGGAAGCAGGTAGAATAAACAGAGTACATAGAAGTTGAACACACTGCCCATTTGACTACTGGGGAAGGGATTATATAATGAACTTTTGACAGTGGTCTAATATAAGGCTTTTGTGATGTGAAGGATTTCCTGAAAAAAAATGTATAAAGTATTGGTAGTCCCAAAGTGGTGTGCTTTTTACTCAGTGAGTGTGACCTCACTGAGTAAAGGCTAGCAGAACCACTATGAAGGATATTAGATGGATTAACTTGATTATGTAGAGAATATTGTTCTAGCTTTAGAGAAGACAATGAGCTCTGATTATCTTGTAAGATACAATTATTTTCATAGCATCCTGCAGACCTTTTCTGGAATGTTTCTTAGCCTAATTCGGGGATCGGCACTGGTCCACGGCATGTCAGAAACCGGACCGCACAAACAAGCAACCCTAACCTCATCCCTGGGATACAGGCAACATACCAAACCACACCCCCTCCAATCTGTGGAAAAAGCTCTCTCCAAAGAACCAGTCCCTGATACCCAAAAGACTGAGGGCCACTGGCTTAATTTGTTTCTTCACTCTGTGAATTATCCTATTCTTTCTAATCATTTCTGTAGCTTCTACTACTTGGTTTATTCACCTCTTTTGCTGTCACCCTCTTCTTCGTATGTCTTATTTTATTAACTCTAAATAAACTTGGTTAAGTAGACAGAACTGGAGAAATGAATGTAAATTCTCTGGAGAAAATTATAAGGTAATAAATATATAGTCCAATTATGTCTGCATGTGATTATCTACCTGCCTGTTAATGTCTGAACTCTAAATTCTTTTTAAAGCTACTGTTTACTGATAAAATCCTGGTATAATAGCCAATGGAGTTTTTCTTTGGATAATTATTAAATGGATGTCCCCCTACATTCTCTAGAAACATTTGGAATGTGAGAGGAACATAATAAACATGGATAGTATCGCTTGACAAATTTTCTTTGCTATATACAATCAAGTAACACGTATATAGTTTACATTAAGTTCTTTAAGCAGAGAGCAAAAGATTATACAACCAAGTTTTGATACTAGACTTATTTCTTTCATAGTATAATGCCGAAAGGTATTTTTCTTGGTTTAATAAAAAGATACAAGTAAATTTAAAGTTTTGGCACTGTGAAATTATATGGAAATAACACAATTGTTATCATTTCCTCTTTGTTGATCAAGTTTCCGCTTGCAGTAGTAGAAATGCTGACTCTTTGAATACCGGAACTATTAATCCAATCCCCAAGAGAAATCCCAGTGCAGAATGGAATGCAATAGCAAACAGTTTTTATGATCCTTCTTTTCCCTCAGAACACGTAAGTCAATTAAAAATATTGCAGAACAGACCTTGGTGAGCTAACTCCAGAGCTATGTATAGAATTGTATGCATCTTGATGCTTTAAGACTGACTTGATTATTCAAGAGGGCAAATGTGGCAACATTTTTCACAATTAAAGTTGATAGAAAACAGCAGGAAAAAGTCATAGCATATAAATCAAATCAATCACAGCTTATTTGAAGACAAGGTCTACATAAAAACTTTTAAAGTAAAAAAAAATCATGAATACAATATTTGTGTTTATTTTCTAACTATTATAACAGATATAAGCAATTTGTAAGTCTGAATGAAATATAATACAATTTATAACACTGACTTTATTTTTTTTCTTCTACGTTCATTATCTGATTACTAAATCTAAAAGTAATGTTGAGTATGTTATGCAGGCTTCTGTTTAAGCAACAGCTTTCTACAAGTTGGAACAAAATGGAAAAATTATACTCATCTACAGGGAAGGGTCATAGATTAATATAATTGCAAGATCATTGTCCAAATATTTGCTATGCCATTCTTGTGTAAAATAATATAATAAAAAGTATGGCCACATAAAAACCTCATTTGCCAAAAATGTGTAATATACTTCCTGGTAACAATATTAAGTTTAAACATCTACTAGAACCTGCTTCAACTTCTAGGTAGCCAGGACTAGAACAAGAAACTAAACTTGTATGCAAAAGAAACTAAACTCGCATTTAACAAACAAGTGTAAATTCTTTTCAGAAAACGAAGCTTGAGATTACAAGGAATCAATGTTTAAGATCCAGGAAGCACTGTGGAAAGCAAAGCTCAGGCATTGTGTGGGCATATACTTCTACAGAATTTATATTCTCTGCAGCCCAATCCAGAATGACCAAGAAAATATTCAAATTTCAAAATATTTTAAATTAAAATCAGATTATTCTACCCCCTCATAGACATGTTATTCTCTTGTCAAGTTGCCCATGATTCAAATTTCAGAATAAATGAAACAGCATCAGAAAACTTTTCATAATGTTTGAAATTGTTTGAACTCAAAGCAATGATTTGAGCATTTGAGAGTTTGAATTCAAAACACGTTGCATACACCCATCTACATAATTAAATGTGTGTGTGTGTGTGTTTGTGTGTATGTATGTATATGTATTCAATTGCTATTACATTACTGTAGGATGCAAAGGTGCCCCCTCTCCCCCATTATAGTAGCAGAAAGTCACAAAACACAAACCAACCCTTTAGGGCCAAGTTAAAGGAGCAAAAACATTATTACAAAATCACAATTCAAAATGAATTCAACAGACTTATGTATTGCAGCCACACCCGACAAGATTGGGTTCCTGGATTCCCTAGATATTTGAAAGGGTTTCCTTTGTAGATGGCAGATGACTTTTTCTGTGGGAAACAAGGAAATGTTCATACTGAAGTTACAAGAAGAGATTTGATAGGAAGACTTGGCAAGAGCTGTTAAGCAGTAAAACAATCTGCCAGGAACATTGGGTATTTCCCCTGCTTTAAACCAGGTTTGGGTAGCTGTCTACTGGAGATGATTCAGTGGTTCCCAGTGTTAAGCAGGAGGATTTCATTAGATGACCTATACAATCTCTTTCAGCTTATCCATTTTATATTCTATATACCTGAAATAAAAATTACATAAGAATGTTCAATGGCAGACATAATGCTGACGCAACATTGTCCTTCAGCGTGTAGAGGAAGACCTCATGCTGGTGAGAGAAAATGCTGTTGATGTGGCTGATACTGGGCAAATATCATTTAGTTTTAATCCTATATATTTTACATATTTTTACATGTGCTGTATGTGCTATTTTATACCTATCTTATTTGCTCAGTGTTGAATGTTACAAGTTTATAATTTGAAGATGCTTCTGATATGAACAAAGAAAGACACAATAATCTTAAACTACTATAAATAGGATTGTGTTTGAAACTCTGGTCCAACAATAATTCAGTAGTGTCAGTTTAATTACCTTTTATAAACTGCATCTGGGATATGCATGAGGTACAGTTATATTACAGAACAATAAACCCAAATAAGTATCAGATTCCAGCTTATTATTTCCTAGTATCTAAAAACACTTATAGAAAAATGTATGACTGTCCTTTAGATATACTGTATAGCAATCAGGCATAGAAAATGATTTATAATATTGTATACTTACATTTTAGGCCACAACAGAGATTCTGTCACAGCCGCAAATGAAGTCAATACAGCTTCTGGTCTCTGAAGTCAGTACAGCTACTTTAAAAGGGAGCTTAGACAGCACTGAAGATGGGAATTCACAAAATGTCTTCATGAACACCCAAATCAGTAAAACTGAAAAGTTATTGTATTTAGAAAAGCTCTGCCAGTCCAGAAAGAGAAAGTATGAATATTTGGAAAAAGCAGTGATATCAAGAAAAATGGAAATGTAATTGTTCTTAAATGTATGTCCTTCATTTGTCTCATGTTTGTTACATTCACTGCTAAAATAACATCTTGCAAAGTTTGAAGTGAGAAAAGGTGAACTGCTCTGATAATCTCAAAAAAGACTGACTATTTTGAGGGTATATGTATACATTGTTGTTTTAAAACTTTTCTTTCTCACTGCTAATTATTAGAGGGAAATGAGTGCAATCGATATGAGGGTACTAAATGTAAATCAGTTGTCAAGTAATCTGTGTTTTCATAGTCCAGAATCCTAATACAGTATCTTTGTGGAGTTTTCTAAATTTAGAAATAATCTGTATATTTAGATAGTGCAGAACATTATTATTTTAGAAAATAATTATTGAAATAATAGAAAATACTTGTAGTTCAGGTTTTAAATTTTGGCAGTGGTTTGCTGTCCGAGCTTGTTTCCATTTAGCTCTCAAATGTTTTGTTACCAGACTAGGTAACATTGTCAGCGGATTTATTTATTTATTAAGTCAACCTGCTACTTCTTTGTTTCACATTTTACATCATAGAAAGTATTATTATGATTATAAAAATGGAATTTATTACTTCTGCTGCTATTTTTAAACAAGCTTGAAGGCAATTTAATGAATGCCTTAAAATCCAATTGCTGTTTAGTATATCAATAAAGAAATTCACAGAATTAAGCTGAATGGTTTATTGTCATCCATTTTCAATGAGATAAGCTTCTAACTGAAGAATCAAGTATCTGACAAACTGAGAAGACTGTTTTTCACTTGATTCAAATTTTGTTTCCAGAAGTTCAAGGTGTCATATAACTGCTGCCACTGCTGTTTTCCAAAGGTCCGATGTGTGCTGTGACTAAAGAAATGTAAAAAATAATAAAGTAATAAAAATGTTACACTTTTCATAAATACCTACTTAGAAAATACAAGCTAGAACCTAGATTTTAAAAAAACCTTTTCAAATTGTTTATAGCAAACCTCAGCTACTCTAGGATTCTGCAGCCTTCAGTTAAAAACCATCATACAGGACTCATTAGTATTCTTGCCACTGTTTGGCCATTAAATGAAATGTTCTGGAAAATAGGACTCTTTCATTAAATAAGCTAATCACATTCAGTCTGAACTTTAATAAAATTATGATAAATAGCAACTATTTAACAACAGGAAACTGATAAGAATTATCTTACTTCTAGTTAAAATATTAAACAGATGTATAAGTACTGTAATCGGGACCGCATTGGTGCAGAAAAAGACTGAGGGCTCACCTGGCCACTACTTTTCTCTGCGTTTGATCAATTTTGCAATGCACCATCTTTGTTTTCACAGCTATAAAACAAACCAGAATGAGGCACAATAAATTCCTTTTTAAATTCTATAAAATATTCTTGTAGTACTCTGTATTCTTTCAATGTGTGTTTATTTCAACCCAGGAAGAAAGGATTATTACCAGGAAGTATTTTATACATTGATTTATTTAAAATAAATACATTGTGCATTTTTTATTTCTATACATTCTGCCATAAAATGTGTAATTTAATAAAAATTCAACATTGTAAAAACTATGCATTGCTTTTATGCATTGTATTTCACTTAAAATTCAGCTTTAAAAACTCATACAACTGAAAAATATATATTCAACAGAACTGAATTACACTACAAATTGTGTCTAACAAATTACCTTACCATCAATAACAAATGCTTCCACATCATCAGCTCCTATCTGAAGTTCCTGCTGCATGGTGTCAAATGAAATTTCCTTGTTTTCTACTGCCATTCCCATGAAGGTAAGCAATCTCATTTTTGCCATGTTCTGTTCATGCAACAGACCTATGTTAGAGAATACTGAGATGTAATTACTTGCGTGCAGACTCTGACAAATAATGTTCTTATAACATGATTTAGGGAAAAAAAATCAATTTTTATTACTGAGATTCTTTTCATAAATTGCGCAGAGTATGAAACACCACAGTACCAGTACATGCAAAATGTGAGCACTATTTTAACACTGTTATAATGTTCTGAGAATTTTAATGCAGTGAGCACCTCTGCCAATTTGAGTGCCAATTTAATGCTTATACAATCCTGCCAAAACACTAGTAGACCCAAGAAAAGTTCCTCAAAATATAGGGCAGACAAAGAAAAATCTCAAGGAAAGTTAGGAAAAACAGGATTGCCTATTATTTTTCTCTTGGCCAATCTGTAGCCTTGAGAGCTGCTGCATAAATATCACTTATCAGGGTTATTTTTATGCCATGAAAATATTATTTATTAATTAGATCCACTCAAATTACTGAAAGATAGTAATCTTACAAAAAATGAAATGAGAAAAGATTTGAATAGGGAAAATAAGGGAAAAAAGCAAAACAAAAACGGAGTGCAGATATTTTTTTATCTGAGGAGATGAAAAGCTAGTAATTAAAAAATTTGGCAAAGAGATTACATTAGGGTAGAAAATTAAAATTAGATAAAGAGTTGGAGTTATTTAAAAAAACAATGATAATGTGCTAGCGCAATAAGCTAGAAAATTGCTGACGGTATGCCGAAGAAAAGAAACCTACACAATTAAAATGTGGTATGAGCAATAAAATAAAGAGTTAATTAGTGTTTTCTTATGCTAGTATTATATGAGAGAGAAAAGCATCTTGCTGAATCATATATATATTATTGAGCATTGAAAGCTTAGATAAATATCTGATTTATGTATATTTCTATGGTCTCATCCAGCATCAAAGAAGACCTGCTTGGGTAATAAAACTTCCTTTCCAGGCCTCCCATATATAGAATCAATTTGTCTTGTGTACAGAAT